GTGAGAGTCTCTCATGCTAACCACTCGGCTACCGCGGTCCCCGACTGAGCCCTAAATTATGGTTTCATAATTACTAAGTCAACATAAGGCCTATGTTCAAAATTGGTTTGATGCAAAGCTGTTACGCATACTTATACAAATTTCGGAAAATTAATGTGACATCTATGGAACCCCACGAAGATATAAACCACACAAAAAAATTGTACGGATTTTAAACAAGAAAGACAAATCTTCTACGGAGCCCAAATCAGCACTGGTCTTACCATGGCCATTAAAATATTTCATTCAATATTTCATGATGTGGAATGTAGTCGAAAACTTCAGATAATGAACTGCTAACAGCTGTCGATAAAAAATCGTTCTTCGATGTTTTAAGCTCTAAAGGACCATGAAAGTAAGAATTAAAAAATAAAAGTGTGTAAATTGAGATATTTCTGTAGATATAGAATGATATGAAAATCCATCTACATTTTTCCACGGCTGTAAACAATGTCATGGATTGTAACTTCACGAATTAACTTATTATTTCATATGTTTACAGCATGATTGTCTATTTTTTATTATGTTTATGAGGTAGGATTTAGATTGGGAATTATGTAGATTTATGGGATAGGTACACTAAAACGATATTTTCTAATTTTCACCTCATTTAAGAAAGTTTAATGTTAATTGGAAAGGTTTTATTAACAACTAATTTCAGGAGTTCACATTTCACACCGAAAAAATACATAATGATACAAAAATGCATAACCTATTTCATCCATAAGATATTTCCTTTAAAATATAGATTTATTCGGGTTTGTAAAACAATGAAAAAAGGGTAAAGTTCCAGACCCTCCTTTAAAAATTTCCCTTCCAAAGTTAACAAATCTATAGTGTGGCACAGTCCGTTCTTTTTTAGTCTATATCTTGAGAAAACTAAACAGCAAAGATATCTACATTAGGACCATATGTGCTCACACAGGAGAGATGGATGAAAGGTGGAGATCTCAGAAAAATATAAAAATGTTTTAGACTCGTCATTGCTCATTCACTTTTTTACCTATTTGGGAAAAACCTTATAATTTTGATGATCAGTGAGTCAGTCAGTAACAAAACTGCAAATTTTGAAATTCTCCCTTTCCGAAAAGGCTTGATATTAAGTGAACAAATTTTTACAATATTGTATGAGACCTATGCTGAATTTATATTTCAAATTTCTAAAGCCCATCCAAAAAGAAGCAGAGATATGAAGGTGAATTGGTTCGGTAAAGATCCACATGGCAGCTTGCTGGAACTTGGCCAGCGGTCTACCGTGCGTTCAGATAACCGAGGCAAAAATATGAAATTAAATCAAACAGAAAAAAAACACTAATATGAATATCAACACTCTTTTCTCGTTGCAGAGAGTGATATTTGTGCGATTTCATCTGTATTTAAGATTTACCAACCGACATTTTCAACAGGTTGGAGAAACCATTCATTACTCTTCCAACGTCAAGAATAATTTAGCATTGTTCTTAGGAGGATTAAAAAAACATCAATTTTCTAAAATGGACCGGTTATTAGCTCATATTTCCTTATGATTTATTATCTGAATGTGAGATTACTCCATTCCGGATGATTAGGTTCAGATCGGATTTTCAAATCAGTTGAAACATTAACATCAAACCTAGCGGAAATACGCGGATACCATTTTATCGTATGTTTCTTTCTTCGCCCAATATTTTTAACGAATATGTCATCAGAACAATTCAATACCTACCTTTTGATTTTTGCAAAATGATCTAATATTAATAACGCAATTATAAAAAAAAAGAAAAAAAACGGTAATAGCCAATAATGAAATTAGAAAAGTGATATTTTTGATATCGTAAAAAACAAAATTTAAAAAAATATTGTAATTACAATAAAAACATAGGATAATCAGTCAAAGACAAAAGAAGTATGAGCTCGCAAAAAAAAAAAAATAGGTGACAGTAGTAAAAGGAAAGTACTAAATTAAATCATCCAACATCTATCCTTGTGGAAGAGAGAATTTTAAAGAAAAATGAAGAAGAGCTGGTTTTGCTTATCAACATTATCATTTAAATTAATTAAAGTTTTTATTTGAGATAAAAATGTCAGTATCACGAGCGGGATTCGAACACACGATCTTCGGCTAGATACGCCGCTGCTCTACCACTTGAGCTAACGTGACCTCGATCCACTCGGACACCAACTTCCCATCTCAACCCCACCTTTTGAATTTTCCCTCCTCAAAAGGTGGGGTTGAGATGAGAAGTTGGTGTCCAAGTGGATCGAGGTCACGATAGCTCAAGTGGTAGAGCAGCGGCGTATCTAGCCGAAAATCGTGGGTTCGAATGCCGCTCGTGCCATTGACTTTTTTATGTCAACTAAAAACCTTAATTAATTGTAATGTATTAATTGGTCTAGCGGACCACGAAATTAGTGAAATTAAGGAATTATCATTAAAGTCATGAAGTTACAAATATATTTATATAAATATTTTCTACTAAGAAAATTAATATAAAAGATACTAAATAAGAAGAAAACGAGCAACAACACGTGGTTGTTACCTTACAATCTAACTCCAAAAAAAGTTAGATGGCCGTAAAAATAGAAGATGGTTGTTTTACAATTTTATTTGCAACTTCACATCAATTTTCCATGGAAAAATTATGTTCGAATCGTGTTTCTGGCATTGACCATCTCAAGTTCCGCTGGTTTGCATAATTTTTTAAGGTTTATAAGTTGGACAGTGAATGATTACGATCTTCTTCAGAAGGATTGGACTGAGTTTGAGGGCTGGTGTCGATTAAATGGATCAGTTATTAATGGTGGAAATTGTAAATCTATCTTCTTGTCCAAACATAGGGCTGCAAGTTCTGTTCTATCGACGGGAATGTTTTCGAGCAAATCATGAAAATTTGTGAGTTTAGAGTTTTAATTCCAACTATGATTTTCGAGATCACTTAGATACAACACGAAAAAATATTACAGTAATCTAGGTTGAATTACTTTGAAATTCGGTAATACCTTAAACATGTTACCCAAATCAGTCCCTGGTTAAAAACCATATGGATTATGGCTGGTTAGTTTGACTTCCTGTCAAAGATTGTGATATAGATTGACTTGAAAGAGAACTAGTACTTCTAGTCTGGTTATTATTAATTTAGTGTATTTTGTTATCACGATAAACTTAAGACTGTAGGGCTAGATGTATTTGAACAATTCACAGTTGCTTGTTCGCACAATTTATGTAAGATGATTTTAATAATGGTCCTAAAGTGGTCTTTTTGAACGCATGGAATGAGAACTTAAAGAGATTTAAACTTTCCACTCTATTTTTTGCCTTAAATTTTTATTGGCCACAGCCGATCATGTGTTCTTTCATTGGATAAGTTCTGGGTCTTCCGCATGTTTACCTCTGCAGGCTCCTCTTCTTAACGATTCATCAGATATCTCTGATCCGTTTTTTCTCGTATGTTTAAAATTTTTTCTTTGTAATGAATGGGCTCACTAATTCAGGACAGATCCTATATCTGACACTAATTTATATGTATATTTAAATGTAACGCTTAGCGTCTAATTTAAATTTATGTGTTTACATTTACTGAATGTGTTTGCGGAGGTCCGTTCGATCGTACCAGTGTGTGTAAAGCAAGCAAATGAAAACAAACGAAAAACAAGCTATAATGCAAAAAATACTGCCTGCCATGTTGTGGGCAGGAACTTGTTTAGACTTTGTAATTACCGAAAGAATAAGTAAATAAAATCAAAACTGTTTGTGATGAACCAAAGCGTTTCAAACGTTAAAAAAAGTTTGATTTTAAGGAGAGTCATTTTTGAAAAAATTATCATTTACGAATAAACAAAAATGAAATAATTAATGCATAACCGTTGGATGCAGCATTCACAGGAAACACCACAGGAGCAAAATCAGCATGCACAAGCTTTAATAGATGTTTTGCAAATATGTAAGCTTTTATATTACAAATCAAGAATTTTTACATTTACAGTTTTCTTATCTCCAAACAAAATATTGAATTGAAGATTTTGTTCTTATCTCGGTAATAAATTTTTTAGTACCCAATAAGGGTATAGAAAATCGGATACAGGGGTGAGGTTTCATTAGAGAAGCTGTCAAAGACAGGCAGGAGGTCTCATTACCAAAGATTTTGTTTTGAGGAGGGTGGTTCATTCAAAATTATTCTCACTACGTTGTATTACAAATAAAACGCAACGTTCGGTGGTTATTTATGGAGAAGGTCCTCTTTCGTTTTTGCACACGCGGGCTTAAATTGATTTCTGGCAAAGTCGCGTTTATTATTCTAGCAGAAAAATTTTATGCTGGATGGTGGTTCAAGCAAGTCAAGACAAAGTGTTTCAGTGGAACGAACCCAGGCAAAAACTCTATAGATTTATATATCCCCTGTGGGTGGCTAATCGCTTAACATCCCCCGTTTTGCTATTTAAACTTACATTAAATTTTTACAGGGAAAATTAATTAAGACGATTTAACTCTTGTTTAACTTTTTTTGGAAAGACAAAAAACTATAAAAACTACATTCCGGTATTCAAATTGTTGTCTTTTTAGTTAAATTGAACCGATGTACTGGCAAATTTGTCTGGATTTAGTTGACCCCTCAGGCCAATCTCGTTCTTAGACATATTGAGAAATGACCATGCGCTGATTAATTTCCCAAAACGTCAATCCGTAGAAGAGAGATGGGCAGTGGGTGGAAGTCCAGTGGAATAAACAGACTTTTTTTCAGCTTCCGCCTAAAGGATTTTTATTTGTTTTCCAGCCTGGGAGACAAACCGTTAACAAATATAGAGACAAGTCAGCAGTCGGTAAAAGCCTCTGGAACGAACCGGAGTCTGACAAATAGAACTTTTATTTTATATTTCGACCGTGGGAAAACAATATTTTTTTCCCAAATCCCGCACTGGGACGGTTGAGAGAAGGCTTCGTTTAAAACAATGTTTAAAATAGGAAGTTGAATTAAAATATTGACCTGGTGATGCGGTATGTTCTGATGAAAAGGTCCTTGTAGTCTGTTTAC